AAAAAAAAAAAAAATCCCAGCAGCTGAAAGCCCCGGCGTCTGCGGGAGGAAGCGAAAGCACCGATGAAAATAAACCCAACGAGAGGGAACTTGGCGACATCAGGCATGGACACCAGTGGCTTAAGGGACACCAGGGAAGCTCTGGGATGTTCCAGTCCCTCCTGATGTCCCGTTTTGGGGTAGCACCATGGTTGAGCGGCAACTGCTAGGTGTCAACATCTGAAAATCAGATAAAAGGGGAGTTTTCGCGCTTGTTGGCTCAGGTTCTCATTTGAGTCATGGATAATTAATGGACCTGGGGACCTTCCAAGATGGGGAAATGTTGGGCGATGGGGGGAACCCAAGCCACCTAGCTGGTGGTGGTGCTAAAGAAGCAGTGGGGATTTGGGTAGGGGACATGAACAGATCTGACAGGTCACCAGGGGGGTGACACCACCTCTGGCCCAGCACCATTGCCTTAGCCAGGACCTTCCCAACGTCTTCGTGCTCCTCTACTCACCCAGGGAGGCTGCAGATAAATGCCCACACCTTGGTGGAGACCTCTTGGAAGCTCATCCCAAACCATGAGACTCCTAGGACAGATACGGATGGATACTCACACCTCAGTGGAGACCTCTTGAAATCTTCCCCAAACCATGAGATGCCCAGGGTAGTTGTAGTTGGATGTCCACACCTTGGTGGAGACCCCTTGGAAGCTCATGCCATGCCATCCCATTCCATTCCATTCCATCCCATCCCAACCCATCCCATCCCAACCCATCCATGACCTTCCCCGCTCCCCACCTCTCTCTTGGAGGCATCGTTTGGGTTTGCCAATTATGGTTCCCCCTGTTCAGGCCATCCTTCTCCTCTCCATCACCCTCCGTGATGCAGCGTTTTGGGAAAGCGTGAAAAATATCCCCATTTTGGGGTTTTCTTAAAATTATTTTTAATTTGGAAACTCAGAAGCACCATCACTCCCTGGACCTTGGGGAAGAAGAAAGGGAACTGAGTAGGTTTTGCCCCCTGCCCCTTTTCCTTCCCCTGTGGGAAGCTGTATCTGCCAATTTTGGGATGAGAGGCTGAGATGGGGGACACATGGACAAAATAATGAAAAAACAGAGAAATACATTTAAATTTTAAAATAAAAGGACACTCCCTGAAAAGGATGAGAAGAGGAGAAAGCAAATGGGAAGGCTTGAGAGGCTGCCATTCCTGGGGGCTGCAGAGACCCACAGAGAGGGTAGGGAGACACCAAGATGGGGTCAAGACCCTGAGAGGGGCTGGGGAGCCCCCAGGGAAATAAAGGGGACCCTCAGGGGGCTGAGGGAGGACTTGGGGGGGAGGGCTATGGAGAACCCCCAAAGGTGGGGCGTGAGACCCCAAGGAAGGCTATGGGGCTGGAGAGGCAGAGAATGAGGCTGAGGGGAACCAGGGGGGCTGAGGAGATTTCTGGGGTTTGAGGAGACTGAGGGCAACTTGGGGGGGTGCTGAAGAGATTTGGGGGTGGGCTGAGGAGAACCAGGAAGCTGAGGGAATCCAGAGGGGGCCTGAGGAGAATTGGGGAGGCTGGGGAGACCAAGGGGACCTGGGGGAGGCAAACTGAGAGAGCTGAGGGGATTCAGCTGGGGTGAGGAGCTTTTGGGGGACTGAGGAGAACCACGGGATTGAGGGGTGCTGAGGAGACTTGGGGTGGCTGAGGGGACCTGGGGGAGCTGAGGGGATCCAGGGGGGCTGGGGAGAACTGGGTGGGGGCTGAGGAGAATGAGGGGATTGAGGGAAGCTGAGGAGAATTGGGCTGGCAGATGGGACCTGGGTGGTCTGAGAAGATTTGGGGGAGCTAAGGAGACTGAGAGGATCCAGGGAAGCTGAGGGGACCTGGGGAGGCCAAGGAGATCCAGTGGGGGTGAGAAGACTGAGGGGATTCAGGGAAGCTGAGGAGAATTGGGGTGTCTGAGGGGACCTGGAGGAGCTGAGGGCATCCAGGGGGGCTGGGGAGATTTTGGGGGGGCCGAGGAGATCCAGGTGGGCTGGGGAGACCTGGGAGTGGCTGAGGGAGCCCAGGAGGTGTGAGGAGATTTGGGGAGTCTGAGGAGATTTGTGGGGTCTGAGGAAACTGAGGGGATCCAGGAGGATTGAGGAGACTTGGGTGGGCCAAGGGGAATGAGGGGGTCTGAGGAGAACCGGGGGTACTGAGGAGATCTTGGGGGGGCTGAGATATGGGGGGGGTGTCTGAGGAGACTGAGAGGACTTGGGGAAACTGAGGAGAATTGGAGTGGCTGAGGGGACCTTGGCGGGGGTGTGTGCTGAGGATAATTGGGGGCCTGAGGGGACCCAGATGGGCTGAGATCTGGCGAGCTTGAAGGATGGTTGAGGAAAACTGGGGTGGCTGAGGGGAATGGGGGGTACTGAGGAGAACCAGGGGGGTTGAAGGGATTCAGGGGGGCTGAGGAGACTGAGAGGATTTGGGGAAGCTGAGGAGAACTGGGGTGGCTGAGGGGAGCTGGGGGGGGCTGAGGAGACTGAGGAGATTCAGGGAAGCTGAGGAGAACTGAGATGGCTGAGGGGACCCGGGGGAGGGGGCAAGGAGATCCAAGGGGGCTTGAGGAGCCCTCGCAGGGCTGAGGGGAATGGGGGGTACTGAAGAGAGCCAGGGGGGTTAAGGGGATTCAGGGGGGCTGAGGAGACGGAGAGGATTTGGGGAAGCTGAGGAGAACTTGGGTGGCTGAGGGGATCCAAGGCGGGCTGAGGAGAATTGGGGGGGCTGAAGAGACTGAGGGGATCCAGGGGTTCTGAGGAGAATTGGGGTGGCGGAGGGTACCTGGGTGGTCTGAGGGAAATGAGGGGGTCTGAGAAGATTTGGGAGGGCTGAGGAGATTTGAGGGGGCTGAGGAGACTGAGGGGATCCAGGGAAGCTGAGGGGACCTGGGAAGGCCAAGGCGATCCAGTGGGGCTGAGGAGACAGGGGATTCAGGGAAACTGAGGAGAATTGGGGTGTCTGAGGGGACCTGGAGGAGCTGAGAGTATCCAGGGGGGCTGGGGAGATTCTGGGGGACCTGAGGAGATCCAGGTGGGCTGAGGAGACCTGGGAGTGGCTGAGGGAGCCTGGGAGGTGTGAGGAGATTTGGGGAGTCTAAGGAGATTTAGAGTGTTTGAGGAGACTGAGGGGACCAAGGGGGACTGAGGGGACTTGGGTGGGCCAAGGGGAATGAGGGGGTCTGAGGAGAACCGGGGGTACTGAGGAGATCTGGGGGGGCTAAGGAGATTTGGGGGGTGGTCTGAAGAGACTGAGAGGACTTGGGGAAACTGAGGAGAATTGGAGGTCTGAGGGGACCCAGTTGGGCCTGAGATTTGGGGAGCCTAAGGGGAGCTGAGGAGAAGCAGGATGGCTGAGGAGCCCTCGGGGGGCTGAGGGGAATGGGGGGTACCGAGGAGAACCAGGGGGGTT